AAACTGGTTTCTTCGCTTTGAACCTGGATATGGACCTAAGAAATCGCTGGAATGGCCTCTCGGATACGAAGGCATTGCCCATAGGTGGTCTGGACACTTGATTGGTGGCTTTCACGGCATTGCATGTTTCGCAACGGCTTACATAGAGGCCAAAAATATTTCTGCCGAACACGCTCTAAAGTCTTTTGCCAATCTCCATGGTAACTAGCATTGGAATCATGTGAGCATTTGATTGCGAGCTCCGTCAGCCCTTCCGGTGCCCACAAACACCAGAGCGAATCTTCTTCCTCTTCCACACCTCTTCGAAACATCACTCTTTTGTAAACTCTATTGTCGACTATGCGTAGATCGGGCAGCCTTTCGTGATTGTTTTCAATTGTTTTACGAAGCTCCGAGTACTTTACGCCGTCGAATTCCGGTGATGCCAAGCCAATTTCTAGAGGTGGGGTAGAAGAGAGTTCGTCCACGTCAAAACCCGAAAGGGTGTCCGGCACAACATTTAAAGAACCTTTGCGATGCTCCATCCTAAAGTTGTATCATTGCAATAGAAGCGACCATCTTGCCAGCTTGCCGCTCAAGTCTTTTTGTGTCATTAGCCACTTGAGATTTGAATGGTCAGTAATTATTCGAAAAAGCAATCCTTCAATATATGGTCTGAAACTCTTGACGCTAACTATTGCGGCGAGGCATTCCAGCTCGGTGACCGTATAATTCCGCTGAGCATTATTAAGCTTCTTCGATACGAAAGCTATGGGATGCTCTGCCCCTTCCTCATCGAGCTGGAATAACACGCCTCCTACCCCTATTTTGGATGCATCACATTGAATTACGAATTCTTTAGTAAAATCTGGTTGTGCCAGAACAGGCGCTGAACAGAGTGCAACTTTAAGCTTTCCAAATGCTTCAACTGCCTTAGGAGTTAATTTAAATGGACCAGGTGACTTTCGCAGGTAATCTGTCATGGGACCCGCCAAATCTGCAAAATTGGTAATAAACGACCTGTACCAATTTGCCATTCCTATAAACCTACGAACCTGACGAGAAGACTTTGGAATCGGAAAATCCTTATCGCATCAATCTTGCCTGGGTCTACTTTCAAACAACCATTCCTTATCAAGTACCCGAAGTACCGAATTTCCTTTGGCAGAACTTGCTCTTCTTTACGTTGATTGTAAGTCCAGCTTCCCGGAAGCATTTCGCCACTTCCATCAGCAATTCCAAATGGTCTTCAAAGTTTGAGCTGCACACCATCAGATCATCCAGGTAGACGAAGAGGTTCTCTCGTAACCGTGAAGGAATAGCCTTATCCATCAGCCGACTCATTGTTTCTGGACCGTTGCACAGGCCAAAGGGCATTACTTTAAAGTGGTACAAAGGCTTTCCTGGAACCGCAAATGCCGTCTTTTCCTTAGACGATTCCGTTAATTTGATTTGAAAGAAAGCATCCTTCAAATCAATACCACTTATAAAGTATGTGTCCTTTAACCTGCTCAACAACCCATTAATATGGGGCAACGGGTACGAGTCCTTCTTTGTAACCGCGTTCACCTTCCTGGAGTCAATGCACAGCCTGACCTTGCCTGGTTTCCGAACTAGTACCACTGGACTACACCACGGTGAATTCGATTCCTCAATCACTCCCATCTTAAGTAGCCTTTCAATTTCGCTATAGGCTTCCGCCTGCCTGGGTGGTGAAAGAGGAAAATGCTTGCTTTTAATTGTCTATATGGTGAGTCACTAAACTGGTTTGACCTAGTCCTAGCTTTTCGAACGAGGGAAACTCCTGAACAACCTTTGGCAATTCTATCTTCTGATCTGGTGTGAGCTGATGGAAGTTTGGCTCATCCTCATTTGGAACATCTAAACAGGAAACGCTTGGGAATATATCGGGTGCTAACGCAAATGCCTTCCAGAAATCACCCAGGTATGCTTCTTGGATTAATGACGGTACAAGATAAAAGCGAATAGTCCTAATAGTAATATTTTTAAAAGTGACCGGTAAAGATAACGAGCCGAGTATTTTCTGCTGATTTCCACCAGCCGTGTAAACAATGATATTTTAAATTGTTTCTCTTTAGGAAATCTTCGCATCCGTTTCCAAGAATGGAAACGTTTGCTCCGGAATCTAATAAACCCACTACGAAACTATCGTGTATTTTAATCTAGCGGTCGTTCGTCTGGCGTTATAAGAATTTTAGTGCTTTCCAAAAGTTTACGCATTTTTACTCGGCTAGAATATCTTTTCCTACACTGCAGAATATTTTCTTAAACTACAAGTTTTGGTTCTTCTTCGAAAATATTCGCCCTTATCCGTTCATAATCATTTTCTCTTTGCTCTAAACTAACTGGGAATTGAGTCTGGCATGCGACCTCCCTACGTAAGGCCTAAGAATTCGAACCTGCAGAGGATTGGCTGTAGAAGAAAACATACACTCGGAATCAGAACCTTCGGAACTATCTGGGAAAGTTATGATGACCCGTGGTGAAGCCCTCGAGGGACTGGTATTACTCTCCGAACTACTGACATCTCCATGCAAACGAACGGTTCTGGTTGGGACTGGCTTACTCTTTGCTTCAGTACAGGAGGCTGCTGCTCTTGTACTCCCTGCTTCTGGGGCTAGGGTGCCGAACGAGAATCCCCGATTGCCTTCTCGTTCGGGTTCCGGTTTCCCTGTCTCCGATGATCTCTGGGGCATCTTGGAGTGACCATCCCCTTCTCTCCACACTTGAAGCAGAACACGTTCCGAATCGCTTCCTCGCAATAGATGTAAGAGTGTCCCATCTTGTCACAGTTCCAGCACTGTATTCCTGAGTAGTCCGGTTTCCTAGTCCTCTGGAAATTCAGCGCTTCCACTTGTGGATCCACTTCTACATCCATTCCTCCTGTCCATTCATCCGGTGTAATAGCCATGGTTTCGTTGACACGCCGTCCAGAATAGTTCGGTACCAAGCTCCTGGTTTCCTTCAGGATCTGTTCGCCTTTCCTAGCAACGTCACGTAGGTCATGTAGGGTCTGCGCACCAGCATTGAAAAGCATCAACTTCAGGCTGCTGTTAACGTTCCTCTTCAATATGTCCATCAACAGGTTCTCCGACATCGGCTCCTTTAGTCTAGCGTTCAAGGCTAATATATCTGTATGAAACGTATCATACGATTCATTAGCCTTCTGACGACGCATTGAGATCTCCATTATGATCTCATGGTCACTCTTTAAGGTGTTGAATTCCCGCTTGATAGAATAGCACAAGAAGAGATAAGTCGCATCTGGATTCTGCTTAGTGAACAACCAATACCATTCCTCAGCTCGCCCTGACAAAAATAAGTGGAAACTTGCCATCAACTGCTCATCTGTACATTACGTGCGCTCACACAACGTATTGAGTTTAAAAAGAAAGTCTGAAACGCTACCGGTGCCGTCATAGGATACCTTCCAATCCTGTGGCTTAATGACAATATTAGTGGTGAAATTTGGTCGGTTATTCAAAGTGGCTTGTGTCGGATTGCGTCCGATAGAAGCAAAGTCCCTAGGGCCATTGGGTGCAGTTTGAGATGCAGTTACCACTGCACTTAATGCGTTCATATTTTACCGCATTGTTCTCATTTCAGCTCTCATTTCTTCTTGCGAAGTACGTAAGAGCTGATGAAGCACTCCTACCAACGAATCTCCTGCAGGCGCTCCGCTATTAGAACGCCTACTTCTATCTTCTGCAATACCTTCACCAAAACCGGTATTCCCTGGCAAAGACCTATCAATTTCCTGTCTTCCCGAGAGCATAGTCATGGAGGTAGCGGAAACATTCTGAACCGAATTCCCAGGTGGTGAGGTGTCAAGTAAATTTGAGCTTTGACGGCTATCA